AAAAAAAAAAAAAAAAGAGCTAAAAGAGGGTTACAACTTGAATGGATTTGGAGAACGCTCTCCTCAGTGAAGTGTCCAGGAATGGAAAGATGGGCATCACATGTACTTAGTACTAATTTGAAACTTGCAAATTAATAGCAGTGTGCTCACATGAGAGAAAAACTCAACCGACCCCAAGGAGGAGGGGGTGGGGGGTTCCTTTCCAGTGGGAACAATGTTTGGCACACGTCCTGTGTGAAGGACATAGGTACAATTTAGATTTTGCCTTACAAATGCAAGCAATGTGGCCTAATTGTATGTACCCTCATCTTGATCAGAAATTAAAAAAAAAAAAAAGCTAAAATAGGGCCAGGCATGGTGGCTCATGTCAGTAATGGTTGAGGTGGGAGGACTGATTGAGGTTGTGAGTTCCAGACCAGTCTGAGCAAGAGCTAGACTTTATCTTTACTAAAAATAGAAAAATTTTCTGGGCATAGTGCTGTATGCCTATAGCCCCAGCTACTGAGGAGGCTGAGCTATGAGGATCATGGTGACACCACTGAGCTCTAGGGTGGTAAAACTGTTTCAAAAAAGAAGCTAAAGTAGCAGACAGAAGGGAAGACTCAGCAGAATCCGCTCTAGAATTGGTAGTCAGAGATTGATGCTCTTTGGGGCTGGGAAAAGACGATTCAGATCTCCACTGGACAGTGCCTGGAACTTGGTGAGGTTAGTGGATGACAGAAGAGCAGAAGAGGGGTTTCCATTTTATAAAGAAGTAAGGTTCAGAGAAATCAAGTAAATTCTCCAAGGTCACACAGCAATTTAGTGGAAAAGCCATGATTAGAACCCTGAACTATTTGTTTGTTTGCTTTTTGAGACACAGCCCCATTTTGTGCCCTGGGTAGAGTGCTGTGGCATCATTGCTCACAGTAACCTTAAACTCCCAAGTAGCTGGGACTATAGGTGCTGGCCACTATGCCCAGTTACTTTTTCTATTTTTAGTAGAAACAGGTCTCACTCTTGCTCAGGCTGGTTTTGAACTCCTGAGCTCAGCAGATCCACTCCTCTGGGCCTCCCAGAGTGCTAGGATTATAGGCGTGAGCCACTGCACCCAGCCAGAAACCTGATCTACGTGGTTCGGTGCTACTTACATGTATATGGTTCACATCCTAAAGTTCCCCAAAGTTCTAGTAGCGCACTAGACATGAATATGTGATGGAGAGGGCAGGCAATGCCACTGTGCTGGGGGAAAGTAAGATCGTGCTTGGGAACATGATTCCTCTTGGAGCAGTAACTTTCGTCCCTTCTTCTGACCACTTAAGCCTTCAAAAAATGCTTGCTGAGCTAAATTGAGAGTGGTTTG